TATTTATTGCTAAAACAAAAATATAAATAACGAGAATGGTGATAAAAGTAATGAATGCAGGGCTTCCCTGGTGGCACAGTGGTTGAGAGTCCGCCTGCCGATGCAGGGGACACGGGTTCGTGCCCTGGTCCGGGAGGATCCCACATGCCGCGGAGCGGCTGGGCCCGTGAGCCATGGCCGCTGAGCCTGCGCGTCCGGAGCCTGTGCTCCGCAGCGGGAGAGGCTGCAACAGTGAGAGGCCCGCGTACCGCAAAAAAAACAAAAACAAAAACAAAAAACCAAAAACAAAAGTAATGAATGCAGATAGATCCTTTGCTTCACTATTTTCAACTCTAACCACCTCCTAAGATCCTATCTGCAGGCTCCATGAAACAAAACTGTGAGATAGGGCCTGGAGTATATAAGTAGTATATTTCACAGCTACTTTAGACTGTGAAAGAAGGGGTGGATTTGAAGTTGATGCTGAGATTAAGGCTAGATACAGATATGGAGATAGGAGGGAAGGAGGGGCTAAGAACAGCTTCCCTGGAGCACTTTTCACCCATTACTGTCCCTCAGTCAGTTGAGAAATCTGAGTGTTCTTAGTGGGAAAGACTAAGAGGAAATCTCTAACTTTAATTAATACTCTCCTAATTACACTGGATGACTTTTTAAAATAAGATATTTATGGAAAGGATTCTTTTTTGGTTCATTGACTACTTAGATCTTAGCTTGGCGGAGCAAGACTTTTTCTGAACTAGAAAGTAGAATAGACCTCTATGTTTCATAATAAAGTGATCAGAGTTGGTTGTATTTAATTAAAGGCTTAATACAATTGGGAGTTGAAAGTCAACCTTTAAGCTTTATTTTCTTCTATACAAGCAGGAATAACCAAAATAGCCACATTTGTTAAATCCTTACTATTAGGCAGGCACTGTGCCAAACACTTTTTAGATTTTACTCATTTAATCTTCACAACAACCTTATGAGGTTGTCGTTTTTCTTATTTCACAAAGCAGAAAGTCGAGGCATGGCAAGGTTAAGTGATTCACCTGCGTCAGAAGTAAGTGGTGGAGCTTGAATTTGTACCCAGCAGCTGTGGTCCCTTTCAGGCAGCTCTTCTTGAATGACCACCATAAACAAAAGGAAAGGCTCTCACCTCCGCCCCCGTCCCTCCCTCCATTCCTTAGTGTTCTCCAAAAGCAAAAGATATAGTTAAAGAATGGAAGGTTTCTGCTTCTAATAAACTAACAACAAGTATGTGCTAACTACGGCTTGGGTTTAAGAAAGTAGCAGTGCTGTACAGAATAGGAGCAACATGATGTTCCTATTATTTTCAGACACCGGATGTGGACTTTTGGATTATCCCCATTATTCAAGGTTTTGTGCAGATTGAAGAACTTGTGGTTAATTATAATGAGTCATCTGACGATGAGAAAAGCAGCCCGGAGACCCCGCCTCAGGAGTCCACCTGCATAGATGACATTCACCCACGCTTTCTAGTGGCTCTCATTTCACGCCGAAGTAGACACAGAGCAGGTGAGTGGAGGGCTATAATAGTGTACAAATTAAATCCAGGTGAGAATGGAACATCTGCAGATGTATTGAAATGGTAATGACAATAATGGATTTGGAAACACAGTTGGCTTCAAAGTGCTCAGTGACTCTCAATAGTGTGATATAATTGGGGACCAAGTTTTTGGAGAGAAGTGAATGAGAGAGAGTTAACAAAAGGGAAAAGAAAAGGAAGTATATATGTGGAAAAGAGCAGAAAGTCACTTGGGATGTGCTTCTAGATACCATTGTTCCTACTGACAGCCTGTATCACAGTAATAAATCCTTCCCGAGTGCTAGCACCTTTGGGAAAAACCTCCTCTTTCAGTTCACAGGAACTATCTCAGCTTCAACTTTTAAAAAAACGATGAATATAGGCATGATCTGGGGTAAGTTGATACTGTTCTGCCTGGCAGTTGCACATTAGATCCCCAAGGCTGTCCTGAAAGACACAGATTTGGTTAAGAAGCATGTCTAGTGAGACTAATTTTGTTTTCAGTGTTGCTGTTTTGTTTTAATTTTCTTTTAGGAATGCGTTATAAACGAAGAGGAGTGGATAAAAATGGAAATGTTGCAAATTATGTGGAGACTGAGCAGTTAATTCATGTGCATAATCATACCTTGTCATTTATTCAAACACGAGGCTCTGTGCCTGTGTTTTGGAGCCAGGTTGGGTATCGATATAATCCAAGACCTCGGCTGGACAGAAGTAAGCCTGTCAGTTATTTGGTTTGCAGAAGATGATTTCAGAGGGAGTTTTTTAAAATATTAGATACATCGTAGGTTTGGATTTGTTTTGCCAGATACTTCATTTAAAATAATAACTCATATGGTAAAATTTAATAGTGATATAATAATCACAAAAGTAATAATGGTTTTTGACAATTTAAGTAATTAACAATAAAAAGATTCAAAAATAGAGCAAAACAGAGCTTAATTCACAGATTTTAATTTGTTGTTTCTTTAAAGAATACTTTATTACATGCTTAATTTCAGAAAAGTGTAAATATGGCCAGTATTTATAGAAGCAGGAAATATCTTAAATAAGACAGCATCTACAAGGAATAGATAGGATGCCTTTACTCACATGTTTTGCTGTGAAAGCTTTGTTGTTGTTTTAAATATTAAGGACTTAATTTCTTCCAGTATTTTAACTTTAGCACTGGAATAGCTAAGTCATGTCAATCTAATTAGATTACTGAAAGAGGCTGATTTTAAAAATTGTTTTCAGAATATTTTTCTCTCAAAACAATTTATATTTGTGAGAATTCAGTAAAACTTCAGTTTTTAACATCCTTGTTTTAAAGGGGTTTTTATTAATTTGTTATAAACTACATGAAACCTTTTCTGACAACTTGGCTGGTTATATAAATAATAAATGTCATTTCATAGTTGCCACCTTCAGTATCTCAGTTTAGTCTAATTGGGGAAAAAAAATCAGAGATCTTCCGCTTAGCATTTCATTTTAAAATATTGGTTTTAGACACAATCTTTGTTACATTTGGGCTGTCAATAAATTACGTAAAAGTAAACGTAAAGGTAGAATAGATACTAATTTCTGTGTTACACATGGGAAGGAAAAAAGATTTTGTATCACTTCTTTGTAGGTGAAAAGGACACTGTCGCCTATTTCTGTGCCCATTTTGAGGAACAACTGAAAATTTACAAAAAACAGGTGGGATTTGATCTGTAGTAATAAGTGTTCCTTCATATTTTTAGAAATGGTTATGCATCTGTTTCTTTAAATTTCATGAAAATAATATACGATTCATAATTAAGCAAAATGGCATTTCTCGTGAAGTTAAAGAACACATAGCTAAGAGTGTTCTTACTATTAAGAATTATCATTGAGTCAGCTACTTGAGACTGTTTTTAGATGAGATTAATCCACTGTCAATTACTACAATCTGAGAAGTATCTGGAGTAGGATAGAAAGGCATCTCTCAGTACCACCTATAGGTCCATCTCTTTGAGATAATAATTTGGTATGTATCCTTCAATATCTTTTTTCTCGACCCACCGTTCTTATTTATTCATACACTCATATGTAGGTATGTGAACATATAAACCAAAATCAATTGAGAACTGTTAGGTGAAATACAAGTTCAATAAGATGACCAGATTTCATACAGATTAATAGACTAATCAATCAGTAACTCTCTTATCCATTAGCAATGACCAGTCTGAAGGTGTAATGCCATGGGATGCATTTTTCTAACAGTAACAAAAATAGGAAGAAATAACCTGAAATTGAACATACAAAAAAGATAGCATGTATATGGGGGCAGGGGTGTTGGGAGGGGAGGATTACTGAAGAATGTAAAAGAAGACTTGAATAAACGGAGAGAAAATATCATGTTCCTGGAAGGAAAGACTCAATATTGAATAGATTTCAGTTGTTAATATATAAATTTTGTGCAATCTCAAAGAAAGTCCCAGCAGGGAAATAAAAAGCAAACCCTCATATTGAAAAAAAATATAAAGTTTGTAGTAAGAGATAAAGGCAGGTAACTGGGGAAATGAGAATGCTCGCACATTGCTGGGAGGAGCATAAGTTGCTATAGGCATTTTGAATGGTATTATCAATCAAAATAAAATATGCTTGGGCTTCCCTGGTGGCGCAGTGGTTGAGAGTCCGCCTGCCAATGCAGGGGACACGGGTTCGTGCCCCGGTCCGGGAAGATCCCACGTGCCGTGGAGCGGCTGGGCCTGTGAGCCATGGCCGCTGAGCCTGCGTGTCCAGAGCCTGCGCGTCCAGAGCCTGTGCTCCGCAACGGGAGAGGCTGCAACAGTGAGAGGCCCGCGTACCGCTAAAATAAAATATGCTTATACTGTTAATCCAGTAATTTGTCTTTTGATATCTATCCTACATACCATATACAGAAATCAGTTCCAGATGGATGTGGATCTAAATGTGAAAGGTTAATAAGCCTTTTAAAGGAAAATATAGAACATCTTTTGACCTTGGGTCTTAAACAGGGCTTTAAAAGCACTAACCATAATGAAAAAAAGACTTTACTAAATGTTTAATTTTTACTAAAACTTTATTTACTGAAACTTTATTGAATGATCAAATATTTTGAATATTAAAATACTACTGTATGTTATAAATATTATTTATTAAAATTAAATAGGACTTAAGCACCAACCATAATGAAAAAATTGATAAATTTGACTTCACTAAAATAAAAGAACTTCTGATTATTAAAAGGCACCATTAAGAGAATGGAAAGGCAATTCACAAAGCAGGAGAAGACATATAAGACAAAGGACGTTTATCTAGAGTACATTAAAAAGTCCTATAAATCCATTAAAAAGGTGTACCGCCCAAAAGAAAATTGGACAAAAGACTTGAGCAGATTCTTCATGAAAAAGGATGTCCAAAGGCCAATAATCATGAAAAGGTGTTCCACGTCGTTAATCGTCAGGGAAATGCAAACTAAAACCACCATTCACAAAACCAGAATGACTAAAATAAAAATGGCGGGAAGTACAGGTTTTGTCAAGGATGACAAAAAAATTTAAATCTCCCTGAGAGAAACATGTGTTCAATCAAGGAGGCATGTATAAGCCTCCTTATTGCAGCATAAAAAAACCCTTTGTTCATCAGGAGGTCAGTGGGTAAATAAAGTACAGCATATCTAAAGTGCTGCATACAAATGCTTAAAAATGATGAGGGGTCTTCCCTGGTGGCACAGTGGTTGAGAATCTGCCTGCTAATGCAGGGGACACGGTTTCGAGCCCTGGTCTGGGAGGATCCCACATGCCACGGAGCAACTAGGCCCATGAGCCACAACTACTGAGCATGCACGTCTGGAGCCTGTGCTCCGCAACAAGAGAGGCCGCGATAGTGAGAGGCCCGCACACCACGATGAGGAGTGGCCCCCGCTTGCCACAACTAGAGAAAGCCCTCGCACAGAAATGAAGACCCAACATAGCAAAAATAAATTAATTAATTAATAAAAACTCCTACCCCCAACATCTTCTTTAAAAAAAAAAATGAGGTACATCTGTGTGTACTAATGTGAAAAGATCTTAAACTCATATAGTGGAGTGAGGAAAACTGTGTAACAGCATATGGCATGTTACCATTTAAAAACTCCCACAAAACAAAACTGTGTCATATGTAATTCTCTTCCATATATATGTGTGTTCTCACCTACATATGGCATGCCTATTTATATAGGAACGCACTTAGATGGCCTGAAAGGGTACACATCAAACTTGTAGTGGGAGTTACCTTCAGGGAAGGCTGTGGACTTAGGTTGTGGTCAGGAAGGATGTGACCTTTATCTACGTTTGAATTTTTTACAATGTAAATAAATTTCATGTATTCGCAATATGTGTAATTATAAGTAGCATTGAAGAGAATAAACCATAATTTAAATGTAACACATAATCACTGTAAAAATTGAAGTAATAGTGAGGTATGTGAAGGAAGTAGAAGAAATAACCTCCTCTCCACCCTCATTCCTGC